CGCTTCTGTGGTCTTTTTATGTGTAATCAATGGAAATGGCAAGGTCCTCAAATAACCCCACACCCCCATCAAAGCCCCCCAATGGTAGTCAGAGCGTGTCCTCAGGCTTTATGGTGATGTGGGAGGAAGGGAACGTTGGCTCACTTTCACACGGAGGCTAATTCATTTGGGACTGACCAGAAAAATTTAGAAATGAAGGATCATTTTCTTTTAATCTAAATACAAAGGCCATGAGTCTTTAGAGGAGTAGATTCACAGTGGCTCCATTCTTATCAGAGATTAGGGGAAAGACAAATAATCTTAGAACCATAGGGTTAATTTAATGACTGGTCTATAAAAGCCTAAAGACTGTGTTACTACGCACACACTCATATATATGCTGAATCGGGAAAACTAAATGGCTCACTTTTATCACCAAAAATTCAATTTGAAGTCTAAAAAAGCCTTTCAGTCAATACAGGAGGAATCTATATTATGTATCTTTATGCTGTTTTTTTAGGTAATGCTGTTGATCACAAACCTAAAAGGAGTTTGTGTCCACTTGTTGTGAAGGCAGCGTTTTTATCATTGTCTGCTTTCAAAGACCTAATTGAAGATCTGGCCAAATAACAGAAATATCTTATCTCATTTACGTCTAGCTCTGTACAGATAGATTCCTGTTGTAATTGGTGCACAGATGTGACCTTTTGTGTGATGAACAGTCCATTACGCAGCTGCCCACAGGATGTGAAAGAAGCCCTTGATATTGAAAAGTGTCTTATCTGGTTCAGCTATCTCGCCTGCATGCTTATGATTCTGACTGGTGAGAATAAGCTGCACATAATTGGACACTGTTGTTCCTTCTTGCATCCCAGATTTTGAAAGGCCACGATCCAAAAAAAGCATCAGTCTCATCCAGCAAAGATGTGTTGAATGTCCAGCGAGAGATGTGAGAAAGAGATAGCAAAAGATAAAGCTGAATGGGGAGAGTGTTTCAAATGCCTCATTTGCACCACATGAGTCAGACCACGTTTGGTCTCAGTGGGAATATCTGGCATGACCTTAAAAAGAAAAAATTAATCCAGGCATCCACAGTTGATCACAGATGACCTCTTTCACATATCACACAGTCGTATTATTTTAATTTTTAAGGCATTAAATTCAGAAAGTTAAAAGAGTTAACATCCCAAAAGCCTTTGATTTTCGCAGAGCAAGAAAGAGAATAGGACATTTTTACAATGCCAAAACCGAAAATGAAAAAGTAAAAATAAATTCAAATTTTGCAGTCAGGTTAAAACGATATTCTACATGCGGCCAAATTTAAATAGCCGAACTCGTGAACTTGCGTTCAAATGTGTTTGTACTTTAATTTGTAGTAATGTTTGTACATTTTTATCAGTTGATTCATTGTTTCCTTAATTTATTTTCCAATCCAAACAGTATAACTAGAACTTTCACTTATGTAGTTCTGCATGTGCTACGTAAAAAATGTCAGCCACAATACAGCTGAAGAAATCGCTAAGTTCATGGTAACTGTGAAGGAACTGAAGAATCACAACTCAGTGGAGATCATTTGCTTGAAACAGATTCCATAATTATGGCCTTTATGGAGGTGCGGATGATTAAAAAAAGCCTTAACAAGCAACATTAAGGGGGTTCAACAAGGTCAGATTAGAATAAATTCAAATTTTCCACCTATAGGTTACATGAGGAAAGCTATCATTCATCACAATCCTCATTCTAAAACATAGGGCTGGTTGCATCATGCTGAGGGAACACTTTTACTCAGCGGGGTTAAAGAAGCTTTTCTGAGATGAACATACCCTGATGGACTTTTGCAGCTGTGAACAGTGAAACTTGGTCCTTCATAGTAGCAACTTCACTTATCATTTTTCTTTCTGGTTTTGATCTCATTTGTGTTGGCGAATCGGATAAAATCCCAGTAACATTCAGGGCAAAATAAAGTTGAATGAATACTTTTCACACTGTCACTCTGTTTGAAAACTACCTGAGACAACCTAAAGATTTCATCCAGAGCGCTGCATATTTCAAGTTAAGAGTGTTGGCTGGTGGTTTATTTAAACATTTTTCTGTATGTAAAACAAAGTTGCCTAATGGGGGAAGTCTGCTGAAACGTTCCTTCATCTTTCACCTCCTTGTTAGGTTGTTTTTACTCAAAATAAGGAATCTGCCCACAAAACCCTCCCTGTAGCAGCCTCAGTATGAATGATTAACAGCTCAATTCTTCATTTTTCATTCTTTAATCCCAGGCAGCCCAGCAAGATTTATACGATGCCAATGAGGCTTTAAGCATTTTGTACTAAAGATGAATGTGAAAGTACTGAGCTGCCCACAAACTTTTAAAAACCTTCCAGAGAACCACACAGCAGAAGCACTGCTGACAAGTTGATATTCTGATGTGAACTAAGAAAATGGCTTCAGCAGAAATAAACCGCAAACGTTTCAACCATCAATCAACGCCATCAGGTCACTCAGTTGCCATGTTTGTGTTCCTGAAACTGTACTTCTTCTGTGTTTATTTAAATTCAGGGTGAGCTAAAGTGCAGTAACTTCTCTGCAGGTCGGCTGATTTTACGTGAAGCAGTCATTTATCAGTTAATTCCGGAGCGCTGCTGCAAGGCAGCAATGGTGCCTGTTGGGGTAACTGATGTGGACAGAGTTAATGTAGTCTGGAGATTGTTTCCATATGGGGCTTGTTTCATGCAGAGCTGCTTTGCTTGTGCCTTTAAAATATCAGCTGTTATTTCACAGTTTGCTCCCTTCAAGCATCCAAAAAGACAACTTTTGCAGCAGCAGCAGCATCAGCCATAAGCAAACAGTTCCCTTCTGACCTCGCTGGGTAAATCAACAGTGAGACACTGTGTGCTCTCAAGAAAGAATAACTTCTGTCCAATGGGATTCAATTACCCAGTTTGTTGTTTTTACTAGTGGTACATTATCAGGAATAACATGGGAAAAATATTATGAGGTGTTAATTTGAGGATTACAAATACATTGCCAAGTGTGAAGCACATTTAGACATTGAGTTGTAAAAACATTTTGAAATGGCAATAAATCAAAGATTCGGGATAATTTGTAAATATCCATCGTAATGTTTTCTTTCAAAGAGGCAGATTATGAACACTCAGAAGTAGCATGGTTCTCTGTGAATATGCAGCCAATACTCGTCGCAATCTGCCGGCATGTCGGCCTGGGGTTGCTAGGAACATCATAAAAGCAGTTCTGTAGGGTAAAGTTCACATCTGAAGGGTATATGCTTTGCTTCAAAGAGCAACCACTGCTTCCTCTAGGTCAGAGATCAGACTCTGCCTCAAGCGGCAGAGCTGAAGTATCTTTCTGTCTTGTTCTGAGTTGATGGTGGGATGTATTAACAGAGGGGGGACTTGGTATGAAATGATACAGGCACTGCTGAGGTGTGTAACGGCAAAAAAGAAAGAGTTTGAGTAAGAAAGAAAAGTAGTTAATTTGCCTCTGTCAATTATCTTATTGTGATATTTGTTTAAGAAATGTTGGTTTGTGTCCAAAAGACACGGATCTTGGATATAAGTGGCTCAACTGAGGTAAATATTAGTGATGGGATTAAGATGGTGATTGTTCGTGGGAAGAATTGTGATTTGGCAAATAGGATCCCTGACAATTATGGAAGGATCACATTAACAGTCCATTCAACAAGCTTTTATTACATTTCTGAATAAAAAAATTGGTTTTAATTATTATTTTAATCATTAATCAATGTTCCCTACCTGGGTATTTCAAAAATATCACAAATGTAATAAATATATCCTTGATTATATGTTAGAAACATAAGATAATGTATAGTTAATGTGCATCTTCTAGTTGTTGGCTCAGTTGAAGACTTTAGAAATAAAGAACATCAAGTTTTCCATCCTAGTTCCATCTTCCACATAACAGATATCACATATTTCCTGATCCCACCATTAACTGTAGCAGTTTGTAAATGCAGTCTTCTATTTTGTGTAAAAAGTCAAGTACTCTTCTATCTTCCATCAGCATATTATGGTGATGACAGTAATGTGCCACTTCTAGTCTCAAACACATTTGAAGTGTTTGTTGCTTGATTTGCACGAATAAAAGACCCTTTCTTTTCATATTCATAATGGTTCTTCACAAAAGCTCCCACTCCCTCCTTCCGGTCTTCTTCCCCTCACATGCGTCTCTCACTTCTTACTCCTTCAATTTTTAACCAAACTTCTATATTTCAGAGAAAAAGGGAAAAACTGACTGGCCTTTCAGTGTTTGCTACTTGAAGCAGATGGGCTGTGTTGTGTGGAGGTCTACTGGGTGTGGACAAATCTACCAGCTCAACCCCGTAACCCCTGCAGAATTCTGCTGTGGCAACGCTGCTGCTAAAGTTACGGAGCTCCTGCATAAAGTCTGGCAAACTTTAAAGCAAGACGAATAAGTGAGGGAACTTGAAGAGCAGGATCAGTCCAGAGGGTCCAAACTTCTGACACTCCCAGGTGGGCTTTATTTTATGCCTGTTTTTTTACATTGAATATTTTTTTTTATCTGACAGTGAAGTAAGGATATTTTGAAAGAACAGTCATACATATACTTTTATTTAAAGTATAAAGGTAAAAATATATTTTCATATTTTTCCTATTCATCTATGTGCATTAAAACGTGCATTAAGTGTAATTTTAAAAAAGCATTGTTAAATGTTCTTCAAATTGTAAGTTTGATAATACTAAGATTTATTAAGTAAGCTAGTTAAGATTTGCTTAAGCAACTGCATGTTTTTTTTTGTTTTTGTTTTTTTTTTTAGCTGAAAACAGAATACTTCAGCTGATGTATATGAAAGGATTTAAGGCCACATTTTGAAATATTGCCATTAACAATTTTTTTTAAACGTTTGCATTATTTGTGCCAGTATAAACAAAGTTAAGCTATGGAAACAACATTCAAAAGTATTGGATATGGATCAATATAAATTGTAATGGTTTAGGTCAAATAAAGACTGTGGCAAAATATTTTTTTAATTCAGTGCTTTTATTGATAAAATGCCTATGCAGTTGGATCAATCATAACAGATGGCAAAGATGATCATTAAGGGATCCTTTGAAATGACTGTGCAAATGACAATGCTGAAAATCCTACTTGTTTGTGATCTTTGTGGCCTCAGGCTGCACTTTTTGAAGCAAGCTCAACATGACCAGATCGTCTTTATTCTCCAGATGTGCAAAGCTGCGGCAGACATGAAGAACTACAGATGTAATTAAAAGGTTCTGCAAAGTATTCAGACTGACTGAATACAAATTTTCATCCACAATGATAGGTATGCAATATTTTACGTTGGTGTTTCACAAAAAACCCCAATAAAATGAAGTTTTCAGTTAAGTGGCAAAAAGTGAAATGCTGAGACATGTGGTGTGAATACTTTTGCAATGCGCTGTACAAATTAACATTTTATTTTATTACTCAGAACTTACGGTTTCTGACAGTTACTTTTTACAGCTCTTTTAAATCAGTTTTTTAATCACTGACATTTAAGCAGAAAACTCAAGGAGTGCGTATAACTGTCACCTAATAAATGAAAATCACTTTAGTGTTTCAATCAATATGACATTTAACTTGCTGACTTGTGTATGTGGGGGGGAAAAAAAGCCAATTTGAAAAATGAACTGAATATGAACTTCTCAGCATCACATTTATTCCCTCAATTTTTTCTAATAATTTGTCAAAAAGAAACTCATCTTCCTCCAGACCTTGATTAAATCGGCCCCCTGCACTGGTAATTTTTGCGAGTAGCCTGTAGTGGTACTGGGTGAGCAACAGGTGCGTTAGTGAAATGAAACGCTGCAAATTAGTGAAATGGCTTTTTTAAAGCAGAAATGCCTCCTTTAGTCTCTCAACGCCCCACAGGGACACTCAAAAACTCTTACGCATGTTATATTTATCTACTTGTTCCTTTTGCCATGTCTTAATCTCAAATTTATAGTCAAAGTTCTACTGTCTGTTTGGGCCTGCTCATGGATAAATTTCAAAATAAAGTAATAATATGCATACTATGAGAAAGCTATTTTTTAAAGGGACATTTTGGAGGTATGGTTTATAGTTTAATTCAGGTTTCTGTTTCTTGTTTAATTTCCTTTGCTTTATTTGCGTTTTACACTCTGTTGTGAAACAAGATCAATACAATCCTCCATTGGGAAAAAAAACAGTTTCAGTAAAGATTTAGATTTAATATGGATGGAGTTAAATATTTGCCTTTCTGTTCGGTGTAATGAAGGCAGATAAATGACTAAACGAACATCCAATTTCAGCAGCCTATGAAAGTGCAATAAAAACGACAACTGCTGGTTTGCTGCTGTAACACATTTTGCATGGAACGTATGCAACCAGCTGGAAGTGATAAATGCGCATTGAGAAGAAGGGTTTATTTAAGCATTTCAGCTCTTTTCTCAGCAGCTGAAAATGTTCAGATTTGTGATTACAGTTGTTGAAATATCGCTTGATGTGAGGCAATAGCAGCCATTTCGCTCATGTGCAACCGAGATATACAGCTCTCAATAAAAGGCCAAACAGTAACTGACAGAGCAATTTTCCACTCAAGGTCTCCATAATACATTACATGAGCATTAACTGGAACACATAGATCGTGGTATGAAAACCAAACTGTATTTCACTGTATGTCTTTTCAACTTACAAGGTTGTTATTGTGAAATAAAAGCCATACTCTAAAGTCAGGTATGAAATAAGTTTAAAAGGGCAGAAAGCTAAACATTCCTTGCTTTCTGTCAAGGTTGGCTAAAGAGAAAAGCTTCTTTGGTAGAGCCTGCAATTCTAACAGCACAGGAAGATTTGTGGTAGGTTTTTGGTTTTCTGCTCTGCTGATGAAGAGCTTTGAATCAGAAATAAATTCAGAACAGACAATTCTGCTTTTCACAAGAGGATTAGAGTCACTGAAAAATGAAATAATTTTTACTTTAATCAACCATGGAAAAAATGCCATAAATCCAACATGTTCCTCAAGAAAATTAGTTCTTGTCTAATTTTCTTTCTGTCATTGAAGCTGCTTGCTTCCAGCTGCCCACCTGTCTTAAAGTCAGAAGTCTGAGATTAAACTAATAGATAAAAAAGTCTGAATTATTTTGGTTTTGCTTTTGTTTTTTTCAGTGACCCTAATCCTCTTCCATAGCTTTCAACTGCTAGAATCTCCAGAAGAAATAACGGATGTAGTTTGCTCAGACAAGAAAACATGAAAACCTCGTAACGAGAACAGGTAACATTCACTTGTTCTCGTATGTGCCGCTGAAACTAGCAACCAGTTACAAACAGCTAAACTATCAGGGTTCACTTATTCAACTTTTACCTGTGGCAGGCCTGTGTAACATGAAGGCTTTCGCAGAATCAAAGCAGAACATGATGAGAGTTTTGATAATATATCCATAATGAATGTTTCAGATGAGCTTAATAATAACCAGGAAAAAAAATCCAGCAATGTCAGCATAATTAATGTCGTCATGCTTTGAAAAGTGCATGAATGGACTATAGTGAATTGAGCATTTGTCAAAATGTATGGAACATTATTTAGTATAAGGTAGTCCTAATACTGATTCTGTCACACAGTAAAAGAGTAGCAACACAAACCGTTTATCTCAAAGCACTTAATTATTAATGCTCAACCACTGCATTTGGAAGGACATCCATCAACACTGACCACATGGCGTCTGATGCTACACTGACCAGACTGATTTATACTGAAAGCAAAAGAGCTAAATAACTCTGAAGATACGAATCTATCAGATCTGCTGAAAAAAGGTTAACATTTATCTTTGTTCAGATTTTTCCAACTGATAATTATAAAAACCTAGAAGAAACAAATGCCAATCCTGAGCATTTCTAAATATCAATTTAAAAATCACGGAAAACCAAATACAAATATGGAGAGTGTACATATTGTTTTATCTTACAAAAACAACAAAAATATGAATAGTAGGTGAGATTTTCCTTCAAAAGCTACAAAAATACTTGAGTAAAGAATGAAACAGGAGAACTTAATAAAGACTTTCGAACCCTACAACTTTTTCTGCCCACCTGCTGACTGTGAGAAATCCATCTGGAATACTGATTTTGTTCACTGTTTGTTGGATTTATAAGCGTGTCAATGTTTGATCAAATCATTCGCAGAAGATTTAACCAAATAAAGAAAAAAAACTATAAATGCAACATCAAGAGGTAAATTTCCAGCTATTTAAAAAATACTTTTGAGTTAAAGCAACCAAGTGAAACAGTTTCCATTGCTCTCTTGTAGTTCTGTATAATCTGACAACAGATCTCTAAAATACAGAGTGAAATGTGTCACTTCACGCTTCTGGATATGCAGATCACAGTCTCAGCTGGTCTTTATTCTTTTTGGCCTCGTGTTTCAGAGGGACGGGAAAAGCTGAGAACAATATGGCAGAGCCTTTCATCAAACATCTGTCATCTCATCTTCCATCTCATCCCCTTCTGTTTCGCCCTCTGCTTCGCCCTCCTCCTCCTCAGATGTGACGTCCAGCTCGTCCATCTGGGACGTGCACTTTGAACACGAGCAGACAAACAGGTAGTTTTCTCTGTGAAGAAAACACTCAGTCAAGATATTGCACCCACAGAAACAGCTGAAGGTACTAAGAGATGGACAGATAGGGAAATGAATTCAACTATTTTAGTGAATACTTCAAATAATTTAATCAGCTAGCATGATATAAACACTCACCAAGGGCGGAAATGCACTTTTTTAAAAACTGAAATAAGCAGATCGCATTAAGACTTCAGGGGTTATTGAGACTGAATGTAATTTGAAGATGGATTGACATCAAGCAGATCAATGAGCAGCAGCTATGCCGTTTCTGCCTCAGGACTGCCCTTCAGAGCCTGCTGGGTTTTTTTATTGATCCACATTTAATCCATAAGAGTGTAACCCGCCTTTAAATGATTTATTCTAAAGATTACGTGCGTTTACCTCAGAATCTTGTGTCTGCTGTGTCGGCTTCTGTCCCGCTGACAGAAATCCAAATAACTGATGCAGATCTCCTGAACACAGAAGATGAAATTGAACTGAGGACCCCAGACCAGAAACCGCGCTCTTGGAAAAAACACAAGCTTCACTTTTCCAGCACATTTTTTCCATGCAAAAATTTCAACTGCATGAATGGAAAGGAATAAATGGATGATGAGCAAACAGATGGATGTAAAGAAAATCCAACGTATTTTCCTTACGCCTTTCCTTTCAATAAATTTTCTACGTCTTGGTAGAAATAGAAAACAAATGAGCAGATGAATGCATGGATAATTGGACGAACAGATATATGAACAGACTGATGTAAAAATGGAGGAATAAACAGAGACAATGGACAGAGCAGATTGAATTATGAACAATTATGAACATCCTATAATTAAAGCAACTTATTTTGACACAGGTTCTTTCAAATCTACAATTTCTACATGTTTCCAGATTGTGTGGGGACCACTGAAAAGTTGGGCTATTTTTACCAAGAACAAAAAGAAAATGATATGTTCCTGTCGGTGCACGATGCAGGAACATTTTTTTTTTTGTTCTGTGCACAATGCAGCAGTAAGTTAAATCCCCCTGTTTCTTCATATTTTCCCCCACATCCACAGGAGAGATTTGCTGTGAAAGTAGCACAGCTTCTGTGACATTACTGTGCCATGCAGATGCAAGCCTTCTCAATCTTTCTGACAGCTTGACAAACCCACTCCGATTCTGGACGTCTCAGCCTTCTAATACCGTCTGACAAGGGAGAACACCAAGCTAGACTATAGAGGGATGTTCTGTCCCGTCTTTGCCAGACTAAAATACATCACTGTGAATCCAGCAGTGTCAGCTGACCTCTCCTGGGCTGATGTCACTCAGGGCATTGAGGTGAAGCAGGAAATTGTTGTTGGGGAAGGACGCTTCTGCGTTTGGGATGCAGCTGTGGTTACCTGCAAGAATCAAACATGGAAATCTTTCTGGTTTAATCTACTCTTAGAACTAGAACCTTTTTGTTGGAGATAAACAAAGAACATCGCTGACACTGACAGGAGCTTTGCAGCAGATAAAGTCCAGAACCCTCGCAGTTCAGAAACTCTCCCGTCTCTGCACAGAAACACACAAGTTATGTTCATTAGTTTCGACTTTCTGTTGGTATCTGCACACATTTTACATGAATCCACTGCAGAAAACTGCAATACAGACTAGAACAAGCTCTCATTGAGACAATATGACAGCTGCAAATCTCCTCAGCAGAGAATAAATCTATTTACTTCAGAAATTACTGCAGTACTGAGATAAAACAGTGACCTTTGTCGATGTCCTTGTATAACTGGTCAATAAAAGAGTCAAGTTGCTCCCTCTGCTGGTCAGGAAGCTCCAGTGCATCACAGGCATGAACCCACTGACTCAGAGAGCTGTATTAGACACAAAATTACATTCAAACAGATCCGGAAGCAAGCATGTGGACAGTTAAAGGAAGGAGCAGGGGAAAGGCTCACCTGGTGCCGATGCCCTGGCCATTTGTTCCCACCAACGCAAACAGAGAGCGGAAACCCTCAGGAACAAACCACTGCAACACAGATACACAGCTACTACTTTCATTCAGATTACAAATACCGTAACTGTTTGGTTGAATAAGAGTCGCATAGTGAGTTATTTTGCAATATTTTTATATAAGAGAAGCAACATTTAGAAAGGCATACTGACTCCAACACTGAGAATAAACTGAGCAGAAAAAACTGGAAAAGTAATCCAATCTATTTTTTTGGTCACAGTAAAATCTACAATTGTTAACAAATCAGAAAAAAACTGCAACTTATTAAGTTCTTTAAAAACACATGTACTTAAACACCATCCTCTGTAAAATGCTGCATGCATGGGATAAAAGTAGCGCTTAAAACATGTTAAATTATACATGTAGCACTAATAAAAACTTCCCATATTCTACTTCTATAGTTTTAAAACTATGTATTTGAATCAGTCTGTCTTTAATTATGAAAATATCATACAAACAACTTCACAACCAAATGTTGAAGTTCTAAAACAAAGCATTCACCACCACAGTTAGATAAATATCCCTTCCCAGTTACACCTATTTAGTCAATTTGTGCAAACCAGCAAAGACTTTGGCTTTAATTTGTTTTTGGCATAAATATTTACATACATAAATGTATGAAAGATAAAAAAAACTGCATTGTTTGTCACTGAGTTGCTGAGCTCTGAATGTAAAGTGTTTGAAGTGACACGTAGTAGAAGATTGTTTGCGATTGTTTTCTGTTCTGAAACTTCTCAGGTCCAGAGAAAAGGTGGATCTCAGTAATGTGAAGGGATCCACAGTAAGTGGAAAGCAAGGAACGAGGTTTTGCATGAAACTCTGACAAAGCCCATTACCATCTCCACATTCTTATGCAGGTTCAGGTCTACGTTATTTTGAATACTTCCTGTCCTGGGTCAACCAAGTGACGATCACACCTTTGGCAGAATGAAGTAGATTCACAGGTGTTTGTTTCAAGAGGGAAAAAAACACATCTCTGCTGTTTGCCAGCTGCGTGAAAATATACTCCCCGTTTCACCAGCTGCTAGTAATCCACTGAGTTTATTATAGTGACTCGTTTCCTGACTCAGCTTTAAAGTGTAGCTCATTAATTTTCAATAGGATTAAGGTCCAGGCTTTGGTAATCCTGTTCACAAATCATATGTCAGCCCACTTAATCCTTCCCAGAACCAGTTTTTAATGCGTGAATAAGATCATTGTTTGCAGAAACTCCTTCTTCCCTTCAAGTTAAAACCATCCTTGAGAGGCCTTCAAATCGAGTCCTCCAGGGCCGCAACCTGCAACGTTTACATTCGTCTCTGCTTCAACACACTTCAGTCAAATAATGAGATCATTAGGAAGACCATGGAGAGCTTGACTGAAACTGAGGAGGTAATTCAGAAAAACAGATTCATGTGGATTTGAAAACTTATGATCTAAGTGTGGATTTAAGCTTGTCATCCTTTTTTTGTCATTCCATATAGTTTGTGCAGTGGCAGCAAAGCAACCCCACAGTATGATGCTGCCACCACCTTGTGAGGGTTGAACTCCCAAACTGCTCAATCTTTGTCTCATCTGAACACAAAATATTTCTCCAGACAAAATTCGACTCATCCAACATGGCAGCTGCACATTTCATTTGAGTTTAATGGCGACAATTTTATGGTAAGAAATTGTTAAAGGATATGAAAAATTGCCAAGAGAAACTTAACTGAATATTATTGGTGGTTTAATGAACATATTTGATGATGCATGGGTTTGAAAAAATCCCCAATATTCATTTTTGTTTTACGAATCCACCTTGAACAAAAAACTGTTCACCGTTCCTGTTTCATTCCGATTATTAGTGTGTGTAAACTTCTGACCAGCTCTGAAAACCCCCCCAAAAATTCTTGCTTTTTTGTAGTTTTTTTGCTTTTTTTTTTTTTTTTGCTTATCATAAATGAATGATTGCCAGACTGAAAAGATAAGGATGTGAGGAATACTGACCCGACTGAGATGCTCATCATAAAGTGCTTCTTTAAAAAGGCTGTGCAACAAGCCCAGCTGCCCCTACAAACACAAAGGGACAGAAAAATTAGATCCCACTGAACAAGAACCTTTCATAAAGTAAACGCAGCCACAGTGGGGGTTCAAGTCAAAGCAGCCCGCTGAGTTGTGAAGAACTCTGATGTTCTTTTTGAACTGACAGATTTAGAATAATTCACACACGCACATTGTGACCTGAGATCTGCAACAGGAAGCTAACTCACCCTGAACTGCTCTCCCAGGAGTTTATGGGCGATCTCCTCCTCCTCGTTCGCCGCCCGGCTGCAGAAGTGAGAAAACAGCTTCTGCCAGTGTGCTTTATCTTTGGCCTGGATAACATTCACATCATGGGGTCTATTAGTTAAAATGGCAAACAAAAGTTTAATTCATGTCTAATAAAAAAAAAAGCTCAAACTGAAAATTAATTTTGGTTTAGTTAATATGTTGATTAAACTTTAATTTTGTAACCTGCCTGACTGATTTCAAACATTTTATGAAGCAACTTTCTCATTAAGGCCATCTGTATCAATCTTAAAACTCATTTCATGGCTGATTTAACAATAAGGTTTGAATTATGAAACAATGCAGGATGAAAATCTAATTACATCCATAGAAGGTACATTTTGTATTGCAGCATCTGACTCGACATGTTTGAGTCATTCAAGACTCACCTGTTTGACCACAGCGACCATTTTGGCCATCAGCATGATGCTGGACGTCTCTGGGGGATAATGCACGCTCCTAAAAGCAAACGATACCTTTTAATTACGAGCGAACAAACATGTCTGAATGTAATCAAGACACAAGAGGAGATAAAATGATGAGTTAAAGTCTGCGTCACCTCCATGCATCTTTAAGCTTGTTGATGGGGTGGTCTGGATCTTCCTCAGAGGGACCCAGACACAGAACCCGATGGTACTGATCTGCAGCCACCTGCCAACACTCGCTGCTGCAGTACATCACCTGCAGAGCAGCAGTAAAAAAAAAAAAAAAGTGATAAACAGTTTTGCATCACTTGTAATCAAGTGATTGCATCACAATGTAATCAAGAAAGCAATTGTTAAGTTTATTGGTCTTGTCATCTCCCAGGCGGAAAATACAAGTAGAAGATATTCAAGCATGCGAAGGGAAGTGAGTTTCAAGTGCATCTAATAAATTCTTGGGTAACCAAATTTATTTTTAGCTCATTGAAATATGTGTAAATATTTATAAATGGTTAAATTAATCTAATTCTAAAAAGTATTGAAACATTTCTGGAACATACGCTATTCCTCAACCTGTATAAAATGATGCATGGAGTTTTTTTGATGTTTAAAAACAAAAAAAAAAAGTGTGGAAATGAGAAATGTGTAATCGAGCAACTAACCAGCAGGGGGCAAGTAATTTGGTTGCAATAAAAAATGTGATTTACTGAATATTAAAAAGATGTTATGTTCATGTCCAAATTTTAGCTCGAACAACTCATTACACTCCAGAGTTAAATTATTCAGATGCTGATGATAAAAAATGTAACTCCAGGCTTTAGATCTCGAGAAATTAAAACAAACTTGCTGTTTTTTTGTTGGGTTTTTTTCTGCATTGTGACCCCCATGTAATACCCGTGAATTTAAAACAGCTAAACTGCTAAAGGAAAGCTGCAAACCTAACTGTAAATCTAAAGCTGGAGAAATTGTTCAGTTTATTATCGTTAGAAAAACCCATCAATTGTCCAGAGATCAGATTCGCCCCATTTTAGCTCATGGGCTCTAATCAGATTTACAAAATGCATCAAAACTGAAAAATCCCACCATTGTTAATGCATAAATTAATAATTGCATTTATAAAATAATTAAATTATGAAAATGTAGTACATACTTTTGAATATAAATAGATACATAAATATAAATAAACAGTTCCATCCATTCAACGGATGAAGATGCTTAACCTCATCAATTTGGTACCATATATCCACCGACATGTCAGCATTTTTTCCCTCCTGCTTTTATTTTGTAGTAATTTACTGAGACGTACTGTCACTTAATTTTCCTCGTAGTGGAGCATTTTCATGAATTAAGGAGCAAAACTGATACAAAAAATTATCATTTAATTTGATTTTGAATATTATTTTAATTAACTTCATATTAAACCCTGTTTCTACTTCTATTTTTTTTGAGTTCCCATTTTTATTTTCAGATGCTGATTCTTGTGAAATACAACACATTGTGTGTTGTATTATAAATTAAAATAATAATGCTGATATGTAATATGTTACTGAGGGAGATAAAACCATATATCACTTCAGTCTTTCAGCATACCAGAAGTAGAAAATAAATCATCAGTTATCAAAACGAGAACAAAATATCCCCTATGTTTCTAAACAAAGAAAACAAAATAACAGACTAACTATTTCTAAAGTAGATACATGTTAGATTAGATTGATTAAAAACACACACTGTAAGAAGCAAGCAGATAGCTTCTTTTTATACCAATAAAAAAAAAATAACAATGCAAAATAGCAAAACACTGAAGCTTGTGATGTGGGGCAGCAGAGGGACAGTGAGTGGACCTGCCTGGCACTGAGGGCAGGCTTGATGGAGCTCAGGCCGGACGTGGCAGAGCTCGGGATGGGGAAGGCTGAGAGCGGGATTGCAGCTGAGTCTCCGGGCGTTTTCTTCTGCAGTCTCCAGAGCGCGTAAGCAGTACTCACAGGCTGGGAAAAGGCAAAAAACAGAGGAGAAACATATGAACTTTTAAAATATTTTAAGTTCAAGTTTATGCAAAACAACCACAAAAATTTCAGACCTGCTTTAATTCTGAAGAGTATGCATCTTGATGTTTTTTTTTTAAGTTTTTACATTTAAGAACTTCACTACAATGAACAGCACTTCATACCTTTATATTTGTACAAGGAATTCCACAGAAACTGAGAAGAAACCAGAGGCCGCTCAATAAAAATGGTCTCTCCCTTCTTGATGCTTCTTTTCGCAAAGAGCCCCTTACCCTGCAAACATTCAAACAAGTAGCTTGAGAAAAAAAGGAATGAATAAAGCAAAATACACTGCAGCCCTTACCACAATGATTTAGTTAGGGCTGTGTTGAAATAAGAATTTTAAAATAGCACAATAGTACATAAGTTAACTTTTAGGTTAAGATAAACTTAGATACAGATCCAAACTGGGACAGCTGGTGACTCTCACAACTTACAGAAAATTCCTAATCAGAAAACAGTCTTAGACTCCTTGGATCTCTTTAGACTGTCTGCCAGGCAATTAACAAATTCCTGAGCATGGTTCAAAAGTTCACTAAAACTTTTTATAAATAATTTTATCTATATTAGAATTAACTATATTTCTTTAAGCATGTTTTTAATTAGTTACTTATTAGATCCAAACTTATAGTCATTATTTAGCATTACATTGTGTGCAAGCTTGGTTAAAAATACAAACTACTTTCTTGTGGAAACATTTTGAGGCGAGATAATACTGCAGCTGCAATCATATATCAAACTGGACAGCGGCTGGTACGAGAAGTTTTCCGTATATATGCTTTTGGGGCTCTTTAGCAGGAGGTAATAAAATTAACATTAAGACAGCCCACACAAAGGAAAAGAACACACCTCCTAATGCATATATTTAAATGAGAATACGCAGTCTATAAAAAATGGTTTGTTTCACAGCAGAAGTTGGAATCTCTTTGTGCTCAGTGAGAGTTTCCCGGAGGATGCATCTTCTGTTATTCTTTTGTCTTTTTTTACTCAGTTCTTTGTCTCTGTTTTGTAATGTCTTGGACTTTTGATAATCTAGGTGAGATGCTTATTGTAACATTCTTCTTGCATTGATTTTCTCTGGATAAAACTCTGAATATCTGAAGTCTGACGTCGTATGATTGCTCTTTTCTCTCTGCACACTTACACAGACACAAGAATTCGGGACAAAGAATTAATTAACGAGCTAAATCAAGTTATTCCACATTTTAATTCTTAACAGCTGATAAAAAAAGGTTATTAAAAAAATAAAACTAATGTTTAATAAGCTGTAATAATTACCAAATGAATTAAATAACTCAACAGTTTGAACTTTATGACATCATAGCTATTCCAGTTTAATCAAAATACAATATGTTGATGATTTGACTAGAAACAAAGATGTTTTAATGCTCCAGGCAGCTGTTAACCTCTGCGCTGCGACACTAAAGGGTCTCAGTGAATCGTGGGAAGGAAAACAAAGAAAAACCAATGAGTTTGCATTATATGCAATAATATCCAACATAATAGATAACCTTTTAAACTAAAATGTGATCTCGCTGCCGCCTTACTTTATTTGTTGCTCAGTGTATAACGTCATGTCATGCAGCAGTGAGCTGCAGCCGACATGCGGCGAGCAGCACGGCTCCTCCTCTGAGGCGCCACAAAACCACAGAACAACTTCAGTCTGTTTAAATGTGACAAAGCAGGAAAGTCTCACCTTTATGTTGTCTATAAACTGGATTTCCACGCTGCCGGTGACTTTACCCGGGTCCACACAGAGGGAAAACATGTCATCCACGGGAGCAGCCATGTTTGACAACAGATGTACCCTTTCAACCCTTTGAGATAACCATACAGAAAAATATGCAGCGCCTCCTCCTGGTGGGATGATGAATAGCACATTTTCTTTCTTTTCTTTTCTTAATTTCCATTTTACTCATAAATCTAAACTGAAATTATAAAAGCAATCAAACATGTTAAATTAGTCCTTCAGATATAAGATAGCCCCTAAATTCAAAGGATATAAGAAGAATGTCTGTGAACTCCTTTGAAATTCAGATACAATGAAATTATAAACTAATTAAGAAACGGGATAATTTTAATACAATTTTTGAGTAAGTTGAACAAAAAAGTGAAACGAAAACATAAAAGCTGCTTCCCAAGAGCACACACCTTACAAACTGACTGAAATATATATAATTTACAATAATACAAACACAGATATTACATTTTTGACAAGCAAACATTTAATAGGAATGAATTTATAAACAATACATTTCATCTCATATATGTTACACATACAAAAAAATAACAGAAAAAAAATCTAATGTAACTGCAGTTAAAGTTGAATAACAGTCAATAGTGTAAAAATATTAAGACAAAAAGTTCAGACAATGTCAGAAATTAAAAAAAAGTGCTCTGTTCATATTTATCAGTTTATAAATCAGCAAATATCTGCAGCAGAGATTCATTAAGCCCCAGTAAAAAGGAACAGCTAAAACAAATCTAAACTGGTCAAGTAATATGTGACCAGTTTAGATTTTTACAGACTGCTCCAACATATAGATGTACAACACAAAGTCTGACTCATTTCAATGATTTTTAGATAATACCCGTCAGAAATTACTGTTTTATATCACAACTCTAGCTTATGTTACAACAGAACAGCCTTGTGACTGAATAAAGGTAGTCATGATACCTTTCACCTTTATTAGCACAAATAGATCAACAAAATATTTTATTTCAGCACATCCACCATTAGTAAAGATCAATTAATTGGTATTGTGTGCTTTGGGCAAACAAGCCAAAGACTAAATCTAATTTTGTATGTTTGTGACAGTAAAACATTTTAAGTTAAGAATTATTTTATAATCTTTTTGTATTTTTAACCAATTAGAAATAATTAATATATTTCTGTAAGGTTACAAATAACATAAACTAAATTTCTTTGTACATTATTTTGTCCCTTTGCTCCAAGTATGCCTCTGAAAAAGAAATATGTTTAAATTTCCCTACCGTCCCCTCATGCAGCAGAAATAATGACAAAGTATGAGGGTTGAGGGATGAAACTTAATCAGCATAAAACTGCGTTTTTGGCAACAAACTCTACATGTAGGACTAGTTTAAAAAGCACTGGAGGACAAATCTGTAAATCATGTCTACAGGTAGCAAATATTGAGTCCCTACAATGCTGTGGTCCAGTTTTAAATAAATACCTGTTGGACTTTACTACTGAACATGAAATGGGTCACCAATGAGGTCTTCCTGTCCTTTATGCCAAAACAGGTTGTTCAAAGTTTCAACAGCAGGGAAGAAGAAGAAGAAGAACTAAATAAATTACTGAAAGAACTAGCAAATTTAAAGGTTGGAACATTTCTTAGTGTAAACATAGGCTGCTGCTATAAAAGAAATTTCATCTGAGGCATTTCTACATTTCCACTGGGGTGCCTATAAATGTGCAGGGGGTTGTCTATTAAGTGTATTTTGAGAGGCGCCTTCAGTAATATTAATGCACAGGGAAGAATCCCCACACTCTGCAGCTGCTCTCTGCTCTACAAAAACTCAATAACCCCTTTCATCCTGCTGCTTCCACTGACAGAAAAACAAACATAACATCAGCTTCCAGAGCTCAACACATCGGGACAAAAATATATGAAGAAACATGAGAAAAACACAAAACATATCTGACTCAAAAACAGTCCAGGAAAGGCATATTTGAACAATCTCATTATCAGAATTTAATGGATCAGCATTTAAGTTGATGGTGTAACAGAAACTTTATTGACATTATTGACAAAAAGGGATGTTATAGAGGTACAGTTCTTGGACAGCTGTAGTGAAGGCAACAATCTCTGGGCTATTGAGAGGATTCACCCTGGCTCAGTGAATGCAGCATTTTCTGTATGAGAACAGGTCTAGGAATGTTGGGTAAATACAACTCTAATAATAATTACATGTCAGATACCCCGAAAACCCTGCAGCAGGGTCGCAGTTACAGTCCTTCATAAAGCAGTCTGAGTTTAGAGCTCCAGTCCCATCTTCATCATAAACCTTTGTTGTAGGTCAACACTTTGCAATCCGTTGCCATGGCAATTTCCGGCTCAAGGCGAGACACCTCAATCTGCCAAAAAAAAAATAGACAAGAAAAAAAATTATACTGAATTGATTAAGCTGTGTACCTCTGGGTTTCACCTTGAAAGTCATTTTTAGAGAGCTGAGTGGAGAACAAAAGCCTGCAGGAGCTGTGGGAGTTAAGTGGAGTATGTTTAATGTGAATATCTTCCCAGCTGCTCCATGAGCCATCTGGCCTTCAGAGCAGCTGAACATGCCGTACCTGAGACATCTGAGGGAAGAGGCTGATAGCCACAGGCAGCGAGAGGCCGAACGTAACCAGGCATACAACGCTGTGGATGGGCAGCAGAAGTCTGCGGTTTCTCTGCAGGAATCGCAGCCTGTGTTAGTTAGGACAAGGATAAAAGGGAACATGAGCCTGCAGCGTGGATTGATCCTGGCTGACTACTGCAACGCCTGGAGTTATTTTAGGATCGTTTGCAGATCTAGGGGAGCTGTTTCACACAATTAGAGGGTGGGAAATTCAGAAGGATGGAGCTTAATTAACCAGATGGCACATTTCTTCTGTTATTTAAATAAAAATCCTAAGTTTATTTTTCCCTTTTTCTGCATTTCTGTCTTCTTCAGTAAAATTTCCCTCCACTATATTGGCCGCAGGGCACAGCATATGTTGGCTCCCATTTGGTACATGCACAATTATATGGACTAGTTTCAAACCTTCAAAGCTGATGAATATTTTTCATAAATTACAAGAGGTTCATTTGATTCAGCGGGTCTAAAAAGTGTAGCTGCAGACCCTGTTAAAATGTCAGGTGTGAGGTGAAAAGTGAGACACTCCTAAATTATAGCAAATATCTAAGGTCAAATATCCAAATCATTTTGGACATTTTTCCCTGGAGTCCTCTTCAGATGTCAGCCCACAATTTTTCTTTCATATTTAGCACCAGGCTATTTCAAAACTCTGATTATCTTCTCCTCAAGTCATTTTTCTGTTATATATTCTGTGACTCAATTATTAAAATCTAATGAATAAAAATAGAGCAATAAAATATTCAATAGAAGGAAAATCTTGTATTAATCTTAAATGAATATGAAATAAACATAAATTATCCTATATGTTGGATATTTAAAAAGTAAACCTTTGATGCAAGTAATTTTTTTTTCTGTTCTTAACTTTGAAATAGATGGAGAGTGAGTTACTTTTTTTTCCTGTTTCAAGCAGCATCTGCTACAGGTTTATACAGAGCCTGCCACATTTATTGGCAGACGTAGTAAAAATGTGAACAGTAGCTTTAAAGTAAATTTGAAAAGTATTTTTCTTGAAAACCTACCAGCAAAAATTGTTGGTATATCAATACATTAAAGTGGTTGTTATATAGACTTGATGAGCAAAGATTATCCTCTTTGACAAGAATACAACATATTAGTTGTTTTATTTGATTTCTCAAATGCAATAATTTTTTTTATTATTATTATTATTTTCACTTGTGTGTTTCTGCACAAACCTTTCGAGGTAGGACATGATGATTGGCGGCAGCACAAAGATCGGCATAGGAAGGACCACACGTGTGAAGGCGGTCTCCATTATTGCCTGGGAATAAACAACAAAGATTGTGGACAGGTGATTAAATCTGATGCTGAGAGAATCGAGCGAAGCAGGAAATGAGAAGTCTCCAGTTAGCCACCATAATATTGAACATTAAATTCACAGTCATACAATACAAAACAGCAGCTTACATGTCGAGCAGCGATTTTGGAGGACCCCACCACGTTGCCGTTGTTGTCTAGAACGTCGATACCTTCAGACAGTTCGTTGTGTCTCATCAGGGCTACGTTACAGATGTTTGCACTTGCTACAAAGGAGCAAAGGAGGCTTTATAAAACATAAAACACCAATAAGAATACAATACAATTTTTGCTAAAAATAAACAGCAGGATTTTAAATTAGATACTCTATGAACTTCTTAGTTATTTGGGTAATAAAGATAATGTATCTTCTATGAGTGTGCAGCTCTAACTGGCAGAGTGATATATAATAAAAGTCTCATTGTGACAGAGGGTCTTTTGAAAACCCACCCACAGCTGGGAAGGGGACAAATCTCTGGATGATCATTCTGGTGGCAGGGCTCAGCTTGTTGGCCTTCTGAATCAGCACATTCAGTCCCACCTTTAAAGAAAAAAAAAAAATACAAATTAGAAAAAGTAAAAAGCTGCAACTGATGCAGTTGTATTAAACTAAATCTTGTACTTTTTTCAGTGTACTAATCTAATTAATTTTAACTTAAAAATTGCAACTAGTAACCAAGATTTCTAAGAATTACAGAATATCACAAGCAATGACATCAACTTTGGTGAAGAAGAAAGCTAAATTACTGCAATAGAGACAGCACTGGTCACAGCTCCGACATAGCCTTCAAGAAACTTAGATGTAGGAGTAGGCTGCAGACAAAAAAATGAAAGCTGTCAGTTTTATTTATTCAGTTTCTACAAAAAACGTGAATCGGAAGTTGTTTTTACCTTTGTGGCATTCCGGTTGGCATAGTTCACACAGGCATTGTGACTCTGGTTCAGCCACTGAAAGAAAACAAAACACAAAGCACAAATGATCCATAATCTATGAGGAAGGAGCGAGAAAAGAGGCAAGTTTCTCACAGTGGCAAAGCTGACCAGATGATCAAAATGGATAACAGATGTTGTGATCTGATGGTGCTAAAACATGTGGCTTTTCTGCCTTTAAGTATTTCCTATAAATATGCATAAATA